CTCTATTACTGGTGGGTCTGCGAGACATCGCGAAACTCAGTCTGAGCCCCATGGACGCGGGAAGGGGGGGGTGCTGAGGGGCTGCAGCACCCCCATCTGCGAGGCTCCACTAGCACCCGCACCCCCAAATGCGGTGCACCTACAGTGTAACCGCCACAGTTTCGTTTCACGTCACTGTACCCAGGAAGAAAAGAGAAATGTCCAACGGGGCGTTCTGGGGCAGCATTGACAGGTCTTTTCTGTGTTAGAGTTTTTACTCGCTACTTTGAGGGTTTGTGACTCTGCAGACCGTTTACATGCAGAAAAAAATCTAATATATCATTTATGATCTAGAAGAAGTTACAACTGAATGCTGTTTCCAATTTCTTTGTTAATGTCTTTTTCCCTCTGTTGCAATTGTGGGATTTTCTCTGTTTTCAGGCCTTTCTAAAATGGATGTGGGAGGACTCCCAGTTCCAGGCTCTGGTTCTGTCTGACGCTTTGTCCTTTGACGGTCTGGGAATACAAGCTCCCTTGGCTTCACCTCAAGAGTAAGTTTTACTGTACTCTCAGTATTTTGTCATTTAATATTGGCTCCACGCAAACCTTACCTGTTTGTTAGATCATCAGGAACATGAGGGTTAGATAAAAAAGTCCTTTTGCCCATTTCCAAACGCAGAGCCAGTTTGAAATCGGCATGATTGAGTTATAACTAATGATGAATGAAAACAAAAGTATTGCCCTATGTCCAAAACACACATTCTCCTTTACTTGTCTTAACTACTACAACTCAAAATTGGGTTTTTATGGTTGCTAGCTAACCTCCTTAAGTCTCATATAAGTGTATGAACCTTTGTAAAAAGTGCAGAGCGAGTCATCAAACATTTCAGTTTCACAGGAAGTAAAAAGACAGAGATTTTATAGGTATTTTGATATAAAAATACGATTTATTTGAAATATAATGGCCAATTACTGAGATAGATTAACAATTAACACAGTGACACACAAATTAAAACTGGAAAAATTGTATTTTACTTTCTACTGGGTTTAAAATAAAAAGTTGATTTAACCCGATGATAATACTGTTGTGTAATAGAGAGGCGAAGTCCCTCCCTTTCCTCCATGGGACCTTATTTCTGAAAAAGTATGTATTGAAGTCGATGGAGAGAGAAAGATTATCTCTCCATCCCGTTTGAATTGAGCCACGAATTACACACATGATGTTTGTCAATTTAAAAGATAATTTTGGAAGTCAAAAAAGTAAAACTGTGAAGTAACACTTTCTTTGTGTGAAACCGCTCAATGAACTACATCTCCCGTCTCGCACCACACACCAAGACGGCCGTCACGTTGAAACATTTCACTTCTTTCTTTCAGAATGAGGCGGAAAGTATTAAAGAGGTGAAAATCACTCCAAGTCTGGGCACGTTGAGAGCTGTGCATACACACAAGGGGAGTTAGTCGGTTCCTAAGAGCCAGCATGCGGGACCGGATTCTGGGATTTGTAGTCTTTCTAGTTGCGTATTTTTCATAGTCTTATATTTCAACAGTTTTACGACAAACTGTGACTTTTTTTTTTTTTAAATTGACAAACATCATATGTGTAATTCGTGGCACAATTTCAAACGGGATCGAAAGATACGTTACCATTGACTTCAATGCATACTTTTTCCGAAATAAGGTCCCTGGGTCGGAAGTAGATGGGCAGGACTTCGCCTCTCTATAGAAGCTTCGAATGAACATCCAAGCGAATCTTGTCCAAACTGAACGTGTACTTTTGATTAATGTCACAGTTTTTCAACAAGAACGGTAGAAAACGGGAAAATGCACTCAACATACTCGTATTCGTTTCCAAATCTATAACAGGAAGAAGTAAGAGCAGGACACATACTTGCACTTCAAATAAAAGCATTTCCTGTGAAACATTTTACCCTTAACTTCTGTCAAGAAGTTAATAAACAAATGATTTTACTGCCTTAAATAAAATAAGTTACAACAATACAGTGTAGTAATGTACAGTGTGTGTGTGTGTGTGTGTGTGTGTGTGTGTGTGTGTTGTGTGTGTGGTGTGTGTGTGTGTGTGTGTGTGTGTGTGTGTGTGTGTGTGTGGGTGTGTTGTGTGTGTGTGTGGTGTGTGGTGGTGGGTGGGTAGTGGTGTGTGTGTGTGTGGGTGTGTGCTATGTGTGTGTGTGTGTAGTGTGTGGGATGTGTGTGTGTGTGTGTGTGTGTGTGTGTGTGTGTGTCGCTGTCGTGGTGTGTGTGTGTGTGTGAGCAGGCAGTGTGTGCCCTGTACTCTGGATGAAGTGCTCGACCCCCCACCACACCTGAGGGCCGTAACGATTGAGAAAGCTCTGTTGGAGCAGCTGTCTCCTTCCTCAGCGGCACCGACGAGAGCGAGCTGGCTGAGCTGGATAAAGCTCTGGGTATCGACAAACTGGTGCAGGTCAGTGTCTGATTGAAAGATAGTAACACTAGGGATTGTAAGTGCAGTTAGGAAAGGCTAAATACATTTTCATTAATAATTAATAAACAGATAATTAAAGGTCACTATTATGCAAAATCAACTTGTCCATGTCTTTTCTACATCAACATGTGTATATATGTTATTATAATATAATAATATACGTAATATACTGTACGTAATAAATCAACAGCATAGCAAAATGTTGTTTATTGTTGAAATTGCATTTTAATTTCTACAAAAGAAACAGACCATTAATATCCCTTTGTTTTATGTTGTCTCTCTTCCCAGGGTGGCTGTTTTGACCCTAACCCTCCGACCTTCAGCACCCAGCAACCCCCTGCCTCCCCCGGTTCGATGGACCCTAAACTCCCTTCCTACCCGTCCCAGTTCACCGCAGCTCCACAGGCTCAGTTTCCTCCAGAGCTGGTGGCTGCGGGGCCCCAGGGTCTGGGGTTTGGAGCTCCTCGAGGGGCTTTTCCTGGGGGAACGACGGGCATCGGGATCAGACCGGGCATGACTCGTCCTCAGGGGGGGGTCCCGGCGCTCAGACTGCCCCCCAACACTCTGCGTCTGCAGCTGCAACAGAGACTGCAAGGACCACAGCAGGTAGGAGGGGTGGCTTTATTTTGTTTTTTATAACAACTATATTCAAATTGGGATGGAGGATGCTATAAAACAGGGGTGTCAAACTCAATTTAATCGCGGTCCACATCAGCATTAATCGTTGCACTCAAAGGGCCGGTTGTAACTTTAAGACTACCTAAATATACATATTTAAATATATATAAAATAATGTATTATATTACATTATTGCCTCTACATTGGATCATCGGATAGGGTAATAACTTCATTATTAACTACGTCTGAAAGCTGAAGTCTACGGCAAATAATTGCAAGTCTCTTCAGTGCACATGTCACAAAATGAAATGCATTGTGGGACATGTAGTTTATGGGCAACGTGCTTCTGTAAAGCGGCATGTAACCGTATAACAAACGTATTATATTCTTTGCAAGCTCTTGCGGGGCCTTGAGTTTGACACCCCTGCTATAAACAGATTAGTTCAGTTAAATGTCATAAAGTTAAACAGTTTCTTCTATGGCCCATATGAACATTAAGATAAGATAATGGAACTTTATTTATCCCCTTGTGGAAATGCAGGCGTTTATAGCAGCAACAGGGTCAGAGTTAAAAACAGGATTCACACAAAGTAAAAATAGAATAAAGAAATAATACAAAAAAATAAAGTAACAGTTGAAACAAGATATCACAGTCAAATGTTGAGTATTTGAATGATTAAGGTCTGTCCCAATAATGACTTCATCAGCTACGATGTATGGACATGACTTTGATTATTTATGTCGATCTAAATGTTGTAGTATTATGCTTTTATATTTTAACTGTAACAGCATAACATTGTCTTTTAATGGCCATTAAATCGATAATCTCAATGAATTCTGGAACAATATATCCTCCAACACAAGGGGTTGTTGCGACTATGTTCAGTCAAACCTGTGCAACGAGAGTTATGGCACATTTCCACTGCAGGGCCTCGCACGGCTTAGTGCGATATAGTTAGGCCTTGCTCACTTTATGCTGCGTTTCCATTACAGTTTAGGAACTGGGGTAGTAACTATAGTAACGCAGTGTAGGCGGAGCCGTGACGTCATCTTCAATGTCGTTAACTGTTAGCACGTTAACTGTTAGCATATCTGTTCAGAAACTAGACAAAAGTTAAACAAGTACAAACCACAGACTGCCTGTGTCATGGCGAGTGCAGTCGCTGGTTTATTTATGTCTGTAGGCCGTTGTTGTGAGTGTGGACGGTCAGAGCATATACAACGTTAGCTTAGCCGATCTCCATTCAGAAAACACGCATTTTAAAAGTTTTTTCGCCCTGCCGTCTGTCTGCAGACTTGTCAAAGCATTAATTCATGGTTTTTACTAACCGGTATCAGTATGTTGTTACTTCGGCATTTTGAAACGTGTATTACAATTAAATCACGGTCAAATATGTTCATCTTGTTGTAGTTGTAGCCCCCTTGCCAGCGATTCTCTCTGACCATTCAGCAGTCGAGAGTGTTGACGTCGCAGCCCGGTTGTTGGCCCGGTAAGAACCTCGATTTTGGAGGGCCAGAAAACAGGTGAAAAGGTAGCCCTGAGCCGGAACTACGCCTTGTGGAAAAGCAACAAAAAACAGGCCGGGTTTGGCACGGCACGCTTAAACCGTGCTACGCGCTGCAGTGGAAAAAACTGGCCTGGCCGCTTGAGGACGATTAAAGACGCTTAAACGGGGCTACCCGCTGCAGTGGAAACGCGCCATAAGTGCTTTCACATACTTTTCAAATGCTGAGAGGTGTAATGAAGCACAACGTATTGACTCAAAGCTTTCTCTTTTAGTCTAAATCCTACAATAGCTCTTATTTAAATGTGTAAGTATTGATTAAAAAGCTCTTTAAAGAACTCCCCTATCCTCCATTATCACTAATACATCTCGCCTCCCATCTGTCTTCTTTTCTGTCTCCAATAATGTGTTTCTTCTGCCTCTGTCGATGATCTGATTGATTTGTTGTTTACTCCACTATCATCATCTCCCTTCTTCTTCTCTCTTTCTTTTCCTCAGCTGCAGAACAGGATGTCAGGAATGACTGCGTTTCCTGCAGGAACCCCCCCACATGTGAACATAGGGATTCGTCCGGGGGTCCAACAGCCGCAGATGCCCTCGCAGGTGGGTCACACACACACACACACACACACACGGACGGACGGACGGACACAGACAGACAGACAGACAGACACAAATACACACAGACAGACAGACGGACGGACAGACGGACACAGACAGACAGACAGACAGACACACACAGACAGACACACACAGACAGACAGACGCACGCACGCACGCACGCACAGACACACACACAGACACACACAGACAGACAGACAGACAGACAGACACAAATACAGACAGAGAGACAGACGCACGCACAGACACACGCACAGACACACAGACAGACACACACAGACACACACAGACAGACAGACAGACGGACGGACGGACACAGACAGACACAGACGGACAGACACACACAGACAGACAGACACAGACAGACAGACAGACAGACAGACACACACAGACAGACAGACAGACACACACAGACAGACACACACAGACAGACAGACAGACGCTGTAGGAGCAAACCACCAATAGTGTTGGCTTAAAGCCCACCTCTGCTCCGCGCCGTCCTTTAGATGAGCCTGGTCAGATTGATAAAAGAGGGAGTTCAACACACCGGCATAAAGTTATAACAATAATCTGATTTAATGGTAAAAAAACACCATACAAGTTTACAGAGTACTCCCGGACTCCCAGTTCTACTGCTGTGCGATGCAGGTATCGGGACCAGCCAGTCAGAAACAGGGGGCATTTTGCATGACTACACAACAGTATATATGGATATATTTTGAGGTGGAGAGCCACTTCTTATCTTCCACCGGACCCAACTCCTTTAATTTCCCAGGGAAGGTTTCACACAAACTATTCTTTAAAAACAATCAACATTGTACACAGATATTGGTGCTTCGGATTATTCCCAGCAAGGACCATGAAAAAGAACATGTGTGTGTGTTAGTGAGGGAAAGTGTATGTGTGTGTGTGTGTGCATGCTGATAAGCAGAGGCGTATGTGTGTGTGTGTGTGTTGCTGATATCTGGGTTAAGGAGGTGTATGTGTGTGTGTCAGGGTCTCTGGGTCATGGAGTGTAAGTAAGAAGGTTTAGATATATAGGATTACTTTAAACAGTCCCAAATAATACATGTTCACTTCAATACAGTTCAAGATAATACCTGTTTACTTTAATACAGTTTTTAGAACAATATCTGGGTGCTTTAACGCACGCACAGACACACACACACAGACACACACACACACACTGCTGTTTAGCCGGAAACACAACCAACATAATTTAGTTTACATCGATTCGAACACAGGAAATATAGCTTTGAGCTGCTGTAATCAATCATTTCCTTTGCACAGTTAATCAAATAACGATATGCAGGGTTGCTTGTATTGAGCTTGATGGAGCGTTTGATTATCTGTGGGGTTGTTGTTCTGGTAACTTGCATCATTTCCAGCAGGAGCAGAACAAATAAGTAAGTGACTTGCTAAGTAAGCTTGTAAACAAAGTGGAGCATTTAGTCGCTAAACAGGTATTTCTACCCCCGATCTGTAGAGACTAGAAGCAGAGCAAAGAGAGTCAATATTTACTATGCACACGTGAACATTTCTGAACAAAGTATTGAGGGGCTGCAAAGAAGTCCCGCAAAGAAGTCCCGGCCTAAAAACAGTATTCTATAGACTAGGGCTGCACGATTTGGGGAAATAATCTAATTGCGTTTTTTCGGACAGATATTGCGATTCGATTTGCGATATTTGTTTTTAACGGAAGTTTATTGTAAAATGCGGCCATATCTCCGGCTAGGAAGGTCGCATCAACGTGCTCCCGTCTCGAGCACCCCCGCAGCCCGAGCTACGAGTGAAAGAACTAAACTTACATGAAACTTCTGTTGGGTGCTTTAAAGTCAAGCTTCAGTTTAAGATTCACCCTGTAATAGAAACATGTGATGGAGCATTGCTGACCTGACTCAGATGGTTCACCAAACCATCTAAAGCTCCATTGGAAGCCATTTGGAAAGGGCAGGCACTTTTAAAAGCACTTGGCAGGTGATTGGATCAATCTGTCTATCACCTTCTATCATGGGCCACTTCTGATTGGTTAACAATGGCTGGTGCATGTGGAGCACTTCTGATTGGTGTGGATGACTGACACACAAGAAAAAAAAAAATCGCAAGCTTTGCGATTTGATAATTGCAATCATTTCAAATTTCGATTTAATATCGATTCATCGTTCAGCCCTACTCTTTATCGATAAGAAAGCCTGGAACAGATCACACCATGATTATTTTAATATAATATAATATTCAAGTCTTCATTAAAAACTCACCTGGTCACCATGGCCTTTGACCCCTAACCCATCACAGCTTCCACTCCTACCTGCGGCCTTGGGTCCCTTGAAAGGCGCTATACAATTGTAATCTATTATTATTATTATATATTTTCAATGTTAATGGAGATATTATCTTCACGAATGATCACTCTAATGTCCAGTCTTTTTACAATTGCCCGCAGCTCTCCCAAAGTGTATTGTACATTACTTTGAAGAAAAGTCAATAATTCTTTCTCTGTAACATTACATTGCATTTTTTTTTGTAATTTACTTTTTATTGGCAAACGTTGTCACAGCATATTGTACATTGCATCTTTACATGAATGACCTACATCTGTTCATAGTTGTAACATGCTCTTTTCCACGGTGTCTCTCAGCAGCCTCCCCTGAACGCCCAGATGCTGGCCCAGCGTCAGAGGGAGCTCTACAGCATCCAGCACCGCCAGAGGCAGATGTTCCAGCAGAAAGTCCTGCTGATGAGACAGAACCTGGGCCGTTGCTCCGACTAAAGGCCCTCCAACAACGCCTCAACCGCAGCAGCAGCAGCAGCAGTTCACCTTCCCACCAGGGTACAAACAGCCCAATGACGGGAAAACCCCCTACCCTCACCGAGTCCCTTCAGCCCCCTGTCCCCCGGGGCTCCTCTGGACAACAAGCTGCCCGGCAGAGTCCCTGTGAGCAACCCCACGCTGATGAGTGGCGTTCAGGGCCAGTTCAGCAGCTCCGTCAACGCCTCGCTGCAGCAGGGACTGTTCCAGCAGTTCGGAGGGGCCGGTGAGTTTGTAGAATCTGTTTTATATAATCATGTGTTTTCAAGCCATACTAGTGAGTATTTGTTAGAAAAATCTCACTCGTCACCGGCTTGGTCTTCAATATCAGGATACATGTATTTATTATCCTTGCAAGAATGGAAGTAGTCATCACACACAGGGCTGCGTGCGTGCGTGCGTGCGTGCATGCGTGTGTGTGGAACGAGCCATTTTGTGTGTGCGAGCGAGAGAGAGAGAGAGCGCACCGGTACCGGAGATCGTTGTTGTTAGCTTCTGGTGCTAGCGAGCTACGCTAACGGATATAAAGAGTTTTTTTCAACAACAAAGTGGAGGAGAGTCCTCTCCTGTCAGACTGAGAGACTCAGTGAGCTAAAGGACTCTCAGTGTTATCTCAGTGGGTCTCAAACGTTTTGGTCACCATTAATGTAAACAATTATTTCCGAGGCACAAGTTTATATGATCATTATAGTTATAAAAAAATAAGAGAATAAATGAAAAACAGCTATGAAATACTATATGACAGTAAAACAAGAATAAAGTTTAAAAGGCGGGAGGCGTGTGGCGCAGTGGATAGAGCCTTGGTGTTGGGATCAGGGGGTCACAGGTTCAAACCCCACTGCAGTCAGCATGTCGTTGTGTCCCTGAGACACTTCACCCCAAATTGCTCCTTTGGGGATTGCCCACAGTATTGAGTATGTAAGTCGCTTTGGATAAAAGCGTCTAACAAGTAAAAAAGGGTGATTTGTAAAATATCCATAAAGTAAATCTGTTTCCAGTTCTGTTTCAAATGGGTGTTGAGAGAGGTATCCATAGATCTCTTCATGTTGCTCTCAAAGTGCACCAGATTGATGGTTTTAACTTCAATATTTAAAAATAAATCTTCCCGGGAGAGCTTGCCCCCGGACCCCCTTATGTGAGGTCCACACACCACCTATAAAAATAGCACTTTACCCCTGCTTACACCTATATGCAGCCGTGAGCTGATTATCGAGCCTTCATTGTAACAGTCGCGGGTACGTTGTGTATTTGCGTGGGGAGTGTTGCAGTAGAACATTCCACTGTAGCGCCCGGTACATTAATGGGAAACCCTAAATGTTTGAGCACCCTCTATGAAACGTCAAGCTACCCCACAGCACCCCCAAAAGAAATCTCTGGTGCCGCCACTGAGCCTGACTATTTGTGTTGGGGGGGCCCGACTTTTATTTTTTCCAAAGGGGGGGCCTGACAGAAAAAGTTTGAGAACCACTGCTCTAGGGGCTGTGTCATCATGCCAGTCTTAGGAACCTCATAACTTCAACACAGTGTCTCATGACACCCTTGTTAGTGAACATCTGAATCCCCAGGCTCCTCCTCCTCTTAATATATTTAAGACTTGCAGAGAATGAAGAAATAAAATAGTGGAATTAAATAGTTATTACTTTTTTGTGAATTTAAGAAATGCATTTTCCTCTTTTAAAGTAATCGCCCAGGCAGACCCATCTTTCCCTCCGGAGATGAGCCCGACCAGCCCGTTGTTGTCGCCTCAAAACTCAACCTCCCAGAGTCCTTTGCTGCAGCAACCCCCGCCCCCTGGCTACCAGTCACCAGAAATGAAGAGCTGGCAACAGACCGGCATGAGCAGCAACAGGTAAGGAACAGTTGTTGTGCAAACATTAAAGGTCCCCTATCATACTGTTTTTCATCAATATATCACAGCTCTCAGATATATACAGAACATGTCTCTGAAGGGTTTGGCTCCAAACACCAAACAGATCATTGCAGCATTACCCATAATCCCCTCTGTTTCAGCCCTGTTTCCAAAGAGCTGATTCTCTGTCTGTTACTTTAGATGAAAATAAGGAGCCCCTCCCCACGCCCCTCTGATAGAGATTTGGTTACAAAGAACTCAATGGTGCTCTAGGAGGAGATTCAGGTGATAAGGGGGGGGGGTTACCTTGGTTGGTGATTGGCTAATGGTTACTCAAGACAACACATTGTTATGACATCATAAAGTGGCCAAAATCTGATCAGCTCATTTTCAGACAGGTTTTTATAGAAATGGATCAAAAAGAGAGAGAATCTTTGTTCCTGAAACTTTCAGAGTCTCTTTCCACAGAGGGGACACATGTTGATGTAGAAGAGACATGAAGAAGAGGGGACACATGTTGATGTAGAAGAGACATGAAGAAGAGGGGACACATGTTGATGTAGAGAGACATGAAGAAGAGGGGACACATGTTGATGTAGAAGAGACGTGAAGAAGAGGGGACACATGTTGATGTAGAAGAGACATGAAGAAGAGGGGACACATGTTGATGTAGAAGAGACATGAAGAAGAGGGGACACATGTTGATGTAGAAGAGACATGAAGAAGAGGGGACACATGTTGATGTAGAAGAGACATGAAGAAGAGAGGACACATGTTGATGTAGAAGAGACATGAAGAAGAGGGGACACATGTTGATGTAGAAGAGACATGAAGAAGAGGGGACACATGTTGATGTAGAGACATGAAGAAGAGGGGACACATGTTGATGTAGAAGAGACATGAAGAGAGGGGACACATGATTGATGTAGAAGAGACATGAAGAAGAGGGGACACATGTTGATGTAGAAGAGACATGAAGAAGAGGGGACACATGTTGATGAAGAAGAGACATGAAGAAGAGGGGACACATGTTGATGTAGAAGAGACATGAAGAAGAGGGGACACATGTTGATGTAGAAGAGACATGAAGAAGAGGGGACACATGTTGATGAAGAAGAGACATGAAGAACTGTATTTTGCATAATAGGTGACCTTTAAATGTGGTAAAAAAATCCCCTGTTTGTTACATGATTATAATTTACACATTGACACATTTGTAATGCTCTGATTGTCTGTGTGCTGCAGCCTGTTCGGTTCGTCAGGACAGAGTGCAGGGCAGGCGTTTGGCCAGCAGGGGGTTTACAACAACATGAGCATCACCGTCTCCATGGCGCCCGGGGGTCAGGGGTCGGATCTCTACCTGCCATGGGGCAGCCGGTGGGCCTCAGCAACAGTAACCTCAGCAACGTGGGCTCAGTGTGCAGCGACCAGCAGGTCAGTGGATACGAAGCTCAATGGAGTTTAATGTCACGATAGGGATCTGTCAGTCCATTTGTCACCCATCAGAGGCTCTTCCTCCCGCACCGCATCCAAAAAATCACTCAAAACCCACCTGTTCAACACTGCATTCAACCTCTGACCATCCCCCCCCCCCCTTTTCTGTTTTTATTTGTCTCTTTATGTATTTTTATTTTCTTCGTTTTTTGTTTTATTCTCTGCCAAAGAGTCTTTGAGTTTTTAGAAAAGCGCTATATAAGTGTCATGTATTATTATTATACCACGTGTCTTTGGAGACCTTTCCTCGAAATGTAGTTGGACATGACGTCATTGACCGGTCGATCGCGGGGAGATTCCCAGTCGATCCCGAGATGTGTCTAAAAATAGAACAACAACATTCTGTTTTATCGTTAATCTCCTGTAACATAATCTTCCTGTGCCAGAATCATGCACTTGAACGCATCAAAGCTTTGTGATTGGCCGGCGTGACCCCATGTGTCGGGGCGTGGCTGGTGGGCACTATTTCGCTGACGTTGTCCGTGTCAACAGGAGTGACAGTCCGCACACACACAAGACCGCAATTACGGCAGAAGTAAAAAAAGCCCAAAATATATAATTTTCACTCCGAGTGGGAGGGAGATTATTTTTGTATCTATTCCAATTCAAAGTCCATCTGTCTCATCTGCAATGCGAGCGTGGCTTTATCGAAGAAAGGTCATTTAGGAGCGGCATTTCAAAACAGTGCACAAACGCTACGAGACGGAATTCCCTCCTAATTCTGCCCTACGCTCCAAAAGGGGAGGGGCCTGAGAGGACAGCTAAATGCACGGCAGTCCATTTTCACCAGGCCCAACAACAAGAGCAAGACTACCAGAGCATCTTATCGTGTGTGTCACGTTCTTGCGAAACACATGAAGTCTTTCAAAGACGGCGAAGTTGTGAAAGAAGCATTCCTGGAGGCTGCCGACGCGCTTTTAGGGGACAGTAAAAAATAACAGTAGCATTTCAACAGGTTTTTGATATAATAAAAACTCAAGTTAGATACTGTTATAAATCAGCTGTAAGTTTGAACTTATTCATTATAATTATTGTACAAAATGGTATAAGAATGCAAACTTAAATTGATTATAGTCTATTATCAATTCAGGTTAAGAAGCTAGTGTTGCTTGCATCCTATTTTAAAGGCATTTCTTTTTATACTCTAATAAAATGCAACAAAAAAAGGGTTTGATTCTATTAATGTTGTCTTTTTTATTGCACTTTGGCAGCAGATTCCTGAGTAGCTTCAGATCTGAGTTGTCTTATTAGTGAGCCTAATTTATACTTTTGTAGCAACACTATTTTTATATAATGGCAAAGAAAGGGTTCAGAGTCTTTTCTTTTTTTCCTGTGTCATATGTGGCAGCACTGTTCAATGTTTCTTGAAAACATTACCCACTGTAGTGACGTGTGAATAAACTCTGTATCAAAAACACTGTTGTGTGACTTCAGTTAAATACTTGTATGTGTGTAGATTAGAAAGAGGTAAGATAAAGGATCTGCAGTATTTTATTAAGTATTAATCGTACAAAGGTCAGTTTTATACAAGTAGAAGTGTGTATTTACCTGGTAGTAGGCTGTCAGTAATGGCTACGCCTCTCTATTTGGACTGGTAGATCTCGACAGACTGGCAACTTTAAAAGTAGCTCTCGGTTCAAAAAAGGTTGGGCACCCCTGTGCATCTAATGCTCGTGGGACTTTTATTTTTTTTTAGCTCCAAGGAAAGAAAACATGCAGTATCTTGGCTTATATGCTTAAATAGGTAGTACAATTTACTTATTGTATTCTTTCTGTCAATACGCGATTGTATTTTGAAAACAGTTTGCATATATTGGATATTACGCCACTAAAACGTTTCTGTCCATAGTGTCATAACCTCATGGGATTATCAGGAGGGATTTACCAGATTTCCTTTAGATTGATGGTTTACTTCAAGGATATATACATGATACAATGTTCACACGTGCCTCATGAATTATTTACAGTTCGCACACAGCTACTGTAATGCCACACATATAATACATGCACGTTGACTATGGGGGTTATTCCCTATCTTTATTCAAGAGCGTGGTATTTAAATTTGAGAGCATACTTTATGTATTTATTTCCCTCAAACCCTGTCCTCGCACTCAAATAGTGCCTGCTTGCACTTAGATGTGCTCTGCTTGTGCTCAAACTGTACGCTTGCACTCAGATATATTGCTGTTTACAGATTTTTTCTGCTCTCAGATTTATTCTGTGCGCGCTCGAACCTTTTGTGCAACAATCCTGTCAAAATCCCTCAACCAATAGGAGGCCAGGTGTCCTTGCGGGTGTGTTCGCTTTACTTATTGCAGCGTCCCGTAAGGGCGGTTACTCTTTGGTTTATAAACTCCCGCCCTCCACGGCTTTATAACATAGCATGTTCTTCACTTGTTTGATTTACAACTACCTTACATAATAGCTACGTTCAGTGGCGGACTGGGACTAAAAATCAGCCCGGGAATAAAATAAAATCGTCCCTCCGTTGCTTTCTGCACAGAACATAGTGCGAGGTGGTTGCTATGCAACAACAATAACAGATAGCGAATGTCGTCGTTTAGGTGCTTTTTTTTCTCTGGAGATAGGCACTTCTCAATCCACTCCTCCATAGTAAGGCCACCCCGGAGGTCGAAGTTAACTTTAAATGTTTCCATCTTAAGCTTTGTTTGTTAGTTAGTTAGTTAGTTAGTTAGTTAGTTAGTTAGTTAGTTAGTTAGTTAGTTAGTTAGTTAGTTAGTTAGTTAGTTAGTTAGTTAGTTAGTTAGTTAGTTAGTTTCATGACGGACGTAATGTAACAGTTGTAACGGTTCTCAGACGCGGAGGGATACTGATTTGTGAAAAGTAAAAACAACTATTCCCTGGATATACCATATCACGGCTAAGAAACATCAGATTGCTTGATTTAACTTGTCCGTTTTATAAACATATACTAAGTGTGCTTACCCCCCCCCAAAAAAAGTTGTAAATCAAACAAGTGCAGTACATGCTATGTTATAAAGCCGTGGAGGGCGGGAGTTTATAAACCAAAGAGTAACCGCCCTTACGGGACGCTGTAATAAGTAAAGCGAACGCACCCGCAAGGACACCTGGCCTCCTATTGGTTGAGGGATTTTGACAGGATTGTTGCACAAAAGGTTCGAGCGCGCACAGAATAAATCTGAGAGCAGAAAAAAATCTGTAAGCAGCAATATATCTGAGTGCAAGCGTACAGTTTGAGCACAAGCAGAGCAAATCTAAGTGCAAGCAGGCACTATTTGAGTGCGAGGACAGGGTTTGAGGGAAATAAATACATAAAGTATGCTCTCAAATTTAAATATCACGCTCTTGAATAAAGATAGGGAATAACCCCCATAGTTGACCGGTTTGTTCTTCAGCGTCAAAGAACAAGGGTTAAGATAAGTGTAAGTGATTTACTTTAGCTTAAATGGACCTACAATACTTCTGATGCAGTAGTATAACTATGTCCCGGCCCTGTCTAATTAAATAATAGGTTTATTTAATATAGCCCCTTTCACAGAAATAGAATTCCAAAAAGGGCTTCACGAGAAAGAACAAAGGTTCAAATTAAGACCCACAGAAACATGAATACAATAACAACATGAGGCAAGGCAAGGCAAGTTTATTTATATAGCACTTTTCAACCCAAGGCAATTCAAAGTGCTTTACAAAAAATGAAAGACATTAAGAAAATGGCATTTAAAATCAGTCATTAAAAAGAAAAGCTAATAAAATAAACATTAAAAGAAAAAATACATGGAGGCAGAAAGTAAGGTTAACATTAGGGATGCTCCGATCGATATTCACTCTGCCGATTGATTGGTGCTCTCTATAAAGGCCGACGTAAATGACGTAAAATACATGACACTTTTCTCTGTGCGCGGCAAAACAAGCTCGCCAAAATGGCTTCACCAGTCTGGCAGTATTTTAAGGTGTCAGGTGCAACGTGTGTGAAGCAGAAAACCTGCAGCTCCACCCGCTGTGACGGACCGGTGAGCGGAGCAACACACACACTAAGAGTTAGACCTTACGGCCCGTACACACAGCAGCTTTTGGCGATTTGTCCACCGCTTCCAGCGCGTCTCCGCCCATTGACTTTGAATGGGGATGACGTCACTTTCCCTCGCTTGTCGCCGAACTGCATTGTGGGGGGGCGAGGCGAAGATTTCCAGGATTTTCAGGATGTTCAGGATTCCAAAGTTGAACAATGTTCAACTTTTGAGGCTGAGCTGGAAGCGACAGCCAATCAGATCCGTTTATGCAAATCTGACAGTTCAAGCGCTAGCCAATCAAACCGCGTGCAAGCTGGGAGAACCAGACCCGCAGTTCATTTCTATATTCCACAAAAATGGAGGAGAAGTTAGTTATTGCGGTAGCAAATCACCCGGTTCTTTATGACCAGTCCCTATTTACCTACCGGGATACAAACCGGAGGAACCAGGCATGGAGGGAGGTGGCAGAGGCAGTGGGTGAAACTGGTAGGTTTTCGCTTGTTTGGGGATTTTATATCCAGTTTACTTCGTTGCTAGTTTACTTCGTTGCTAGACAGTATCATTAGCCAGCATGGAATGTAGCATAAAATAGCACCATAAACATTAATCTCATAAATGTTCAAAATGTTAAAAAATAAATGTTCATCATAGCCCTTCCTATTTGACAATAGTGTAGAAGAACCGTTTTTTTTTGCTTTGTATGTCGGGGGCGGGATATTCATGTGATATTCATGTGATTGGTTGTTGGTCGCGAAATCCCCAAGCTGTCAGACACGCCCAGCTCCAGGATTTTCAAGATTTGGTCAAAGCTGCTGTGTGGACACACCGTAACACACTTAGCTATTTTATCTACCTCTGGAACTAAACTAGTTATAAATGGTTTATTCTTCACTGTCGGGTCACTCATTACTGGATCAGTGAGCTGCGTGAGATACTGACGGGCTGTCAGGAGAGAGAGAGAGGAGGAGAGAGAGAGAGAGGGAGAGAGAGAGGGAGAGAGAGAGAGAGAGAGAGAGAGAGGGAGAGAGAGAGAGAGAGAGAGAGAAAACTTCCGCTCATTTCTCCCGTGTTATTATCCAAAGTTAATGTAAACTTGAATAGTGTACTTCATTTTAATGTAATAATTATGTTGGTTGTTGTTTGTGGAAGCGTCAGTGAATGAGCCCCATTAACTGAGTTTTAAACATCACTTTAAATGGAAGATCCCCATAGGCCCCACCCAATCGATCGGATCGGCGATCGGTATCGGCCGATACTGATTCTGGCGATCAGCCCCAAAATTAACATAAAAACAAAACATCGACCACGTGGAGTCCCGAAAGGAACAAACAAAAGAACACAACACATCACACACATCTCAAGTAGAAACAAAAGCCAATGTAAAAAGACAAACTACTGGTCCCTGTATCATCGTTCTTTCTCTGCCCCTGCAGGTGCAGCAGGTCCAGGTGTTTGCAGACGTCCAGTGCACCGTGAACCTGGTTGGCAGCGACTCCTCCTACCTGAACGCGGGTCCCATCGGAGCGCCGACCCCCCAGAAGGGTCCTCAGGGGTCCCAGAGCCCAGCAGCCAATCAGAAGAGCCTCCTCCAGCAGCTGCTCACCGAGTGACGACGCCTCAACGACTCCTCCTCGGCCCCTCTTCTACTCTCCTCTGTCTCACATGTACACCTCGAAGGTCGGAGCACCATTAGCCGTCTCTGTCTCACCGCTCGGATGGAACGATGGATTATTTTGGGATGCTTTGACGCCCAAATCAGTGGAGGTTTGGATTCACTTAGCCTCTCCACTTCTGGATCTTGGTACTTCTTTTGAGAGAAAAGTCAGAAGGAGCAGCAGTGTATTTAAACCTGCCTGTCTAATCTGTCTGACAACCTGTCTGTCTGCCTCAGCCTATCAAAAGGCAGTGTTGTCTTGCTGCTCATTCCTTGATGACCTACTTCCTGCTTCCTTAACCCGAGAAAAAAAACAACTGCAACATTATTGTAGATTTGCCAAGTTGTCGTCACTGTCAAATCAGGGCCGGGCTCCGTTTATTTTGTCTCTGTCGCAGCAGCAGCAGTGCATCTTGGGAGCTTTGAGTTGCAGCATACAGCTGAGCTCATCATTTTTAAAGTGTCGGGGTTAAAGTATCCCACACGGCAGCCCCTCTGGCTTTTCATTTGTATTCTTTGTGTTTTGTTCACTCTACCTGTCTCTCAGCGATGTGGGAATGTTAATGTTTCAGACCTCTGTTGCATTGTGGGATAGAAGCTCAGTATCAGCTGGTTCTGTGACTGTCTCTCTCTATCAGCTACAGTGCCTTCTACTACATATTATTCTAAATACGTCTTCTGTTTTTATTGTTAAATGAAATTCTGCTCTCACCGTCATCATCATTTTCATCATCACTTCAGAACAAGCTTTGACAACAGCCAGCGTGGATTGGACGGATGGATTTGATGGATGGGAGACAGATGGGATGCTGCTCAGTTTTTACGTGTCTTTCTCCCCCTCCTAACCAAGGGAGGGGAGGTTTTATTTTTATTTTTTCAAAGTATAAGAAAAGAGACTGTTATTATTATTTAACTGTCTGTCCGTCACATTTTACCCCTCAGCTGTGAATACGGAGCCCTGTTGGGTTCTCTCTCTTTTTCTCTGTGTATCTTCATGCTATCTCTCAGCCTATCAGTGTTTGGGTTGTATTGTACAGTACAGAAGGACAAAGACTTGGGGATGAGCGTCTCTTGTAACTGCATATTTCTTTAAAAAAAAAGAAGATAATAGCCGCTTTCACACCAAGTACTTTGTCGTACTTAGTTCCCAGCACGTAGTTCCCCCATGGAACTAAAGAGCCGATCGCGTTCACACCGGAATAAATCCCTGAGGGAAGATTACGCAAATGAAGCCGCTGACGTCACTTCTTCTTCTTCTTCTTCTGCTTTGGGTTTACTGGCAGGCCGCAAACAACTTGACGGCGTATACTGCCACCCGAAGTCCCCGGAGTTGGGGACTGGCTTCAGTAGAAGCTGCTGGGACTCCCAGCAGCTTCTACTGAAGCCTTCCGAGTAAATCGCCAGAAAGCCGACACCTCCTCATCTCCCATGTTTTTTTTTGTGTTGCCATAAGTTATTCTCTCTCCGTTGGTGCGCGCGGCTAATGCTAATGCTAATAATGCTAATGCCAGCAAATACAATGGCGGCTTCACAAAACTTTTCCGAGTTTTACGGGGCGTGGTTTGCAATCCGCCCAGCCAATAGAAATTGGAACTTTTCCCCCCTTTTCAGTCCCTGCTTTTTCTGGGGGTAAAAGTTCTCATGAACTAAGTTCTCTTTTTGGTGTGAACGCAAAATCCCAGGAACTATCGGAACCAAAAGGGAAAAGTACTCCGGTGTGAAAGCGCCTAATGTAATGAATTACTCAGAAAAGTATGTACAACGTTTGGATCTAGGGTTTTCTTTTGTTTAATTCTAATGGTTTATTTCTGGCACCATGATATTGTAACACCGCTACAGTGGAGGTTATTCCATCTTCTGAAAAAAGAAATATTGAAAGCAATTTATTATAAGATATATATATATATATATATAGCTCCCTTCTGCATCACATTCAGCGCTACACAAGACGCCACAGTACAAAAAAAAGAAGGTTTGATTGCTTTGCTTTCTCTCGTGGTAAACAGGGAGCTAGACGGCCATCTTCTCTTGCTTTCTCTCGTGGTAAACAGGGAGCTAGTAGACGGCCATCTTCTCTTGCTTTCTCTCGTGGTAAACAGGGAGCTAGACGGCCATCTTCTCTTGCTTTCTCTCGTGGTAAACAGGGAGCTAGACGGCCATCTTCTCTTGCTTTCTCTCGTGGTAAACAGGGAGCTAGACGGCCATCTTTTCTTGCTTTCTCTCGTGATAAACAGGGAGCTAGACGGCCATCTTCTCTTGCTTTCTCTCGTGATAAACAGGGAGCTAGTAGACGGCCATCTTCTCTTGCTTTCTCTCGTGGTAAACAGGGAGCTAGTAGACGGCCATCTTCTCTTGCTTTCTCTCGTGGTAAACGGAGCTAGACGGCCATCTTCTCTTGCTTTCTCTCGTGGTAAACAGGGAGCTAGACGGCCATCTTCTCTTGCTTTCTCTCGTGGTAAACAGGGAGCTAGACGGCCATCTTTTCTTGCTTTCTCTCGTGATAAACAGGGAGCTAGACGGCCATCTTCTCTTGCTTTCTCTCGTGATAAACAGGGAGCTAGTAGACGGCCATCTTCTCTTGCTTTCTCTCGTGGTAAACAGGGAGCTAGACGGCCATCTTCTCTTGCTTTCTCTCGTGATAAACAGGGAGCTAGACGGCCATCTTCTCTTGCTTTCTCTCGTGGTAAACAGGGAGCTAGACGGCCATCTTCTCTTGCTTTCTCTCGTGATAAACAGGGAGCTAGACGGCCATCTTCTCTTGCTTTCTCTCGTGGTAAACAGGGAGCTAGACAGTCATCTTCTCTTGCTTTCTCTCGTGGTAAACAGGGAGCTAGACGGCCATCTTCTCTTGCTTTCTCTCGTGGTAAACGGGGAGCTAGACGGCCATCTTCTCTTGCTTTCTCTCGTGATAAACAGGGAGCTAGTAGACGGCCATCTTCTCTTGCTTTCTCTCGTGGTAAACAGGGAGCTAGTAGACGGCCATCTTCTCTTGCTTTCTCTCGTGATAAACAGGGAGCTAGTAGACGGCCATCTTCTCTTGCTTTCTCTCGTGATAAACAGGGAGCTAGTAGACGGCCATCTTCTCTTGCGTTCTCTCGTGATAAACAGGGAGCTAGTAGACGGCCATCTTCTCTTGCTTTCTCTCGTGGTAAACAGGGAGCTAGTAGACGGCCATCTTCTCTTGCGTTCTCTCGTGATAAACAGGGAGCTAGTAGACGGCCATCTTCTCTTGCTTTCTCTCGTGGTAAACAGGGAGCTAGACGGCCATCTTCTCTTGCTTTCTCTCGTGATAAACAGGGAGCTAGTAGACGGCCATCTTCTCTTGCTTTCTCCTCTTTTTGTATTCTTATGTATGTACAATACTTTCAAGAGAACTTGTCAGACAGTACATGTGTTTGTAACCATTGTATAAAAGAAATAATAATATCTTAAAATGCGTTTTTTTGCTGGTGATGCTAACGGTACCTAGCCGCAGCCACATGTAATCACAGCTAAAACCATTTTGGATATTGTTCCTATATAATGACATTTAAGTAGAGGCGTTAGTAATAGAAGTTCCTAACAAAGATGTGATGGATCATTTAAAAGCTGTCATGAAATCGAATCGAAACAGGATGGGTTGAGTCGCCAAAAAAACACGTTTTATTTTCTCCTGTTTTGTTGTTTTTTTGGGATTCAACCCTCTTCTCCCTCCACCTCTGGTTCCCTGATGAAGACTTCACTCCACTGGCTAAACACACACAGTTTTCTGTTGACTACTGTTGCTCAGTCAGACACTGGCCCAATCCCAAACCACGCCCTACACCCTACCCCTACACACTACCCCTCCGAGTGACACTCGCAAACTCCCCTCTCTCCGGCAGAAACAGGAAATGCCGTAACTGTATGTAACAACGGTTTCAAATCAGCGTCTCTTAGACAACAAATACAAATTAATAACTCAAATAAAACTCCAAACATCTTTAATTGTGTTTTTTTGTAAAGCTGTTTTAGTTTTAAACCTGATGTTTATAAGCTTCTTAGTTTTTTGCAACAGTCTGTAAATATACACAACGGTCAGGTAGGGCAGCGCGTGAAGTCAGCACCGACGCAGACTCGCTGTTTGAGGGCTTGATATCCCCCTCCACACTCGTTGGTTTGGAACAGCACTTAATGTGGCGGACCCTCCGCGTGAACGTGCAAATGGAGGTGTAGGGCGTGGTTTGGGATCGGGCCACTGTCTCTTTCAGCGATAACCGACTTCTGTTGACAAAGAAAACATCGGAAAAGATGTGCGTATTATAATGCACACTGACAGGAAGTTGAGAAGAAAAAGGACAAACCTTACAGAGATGTTGCCTTTAAATTATTACATGATTTTGAATGATCTGGATATTAGAAATAAGAAAAGTCTGACATATTAAAGGGGCCCTATTATGAACTTTGTGGCATTCCCTATCCTGTAGTTTTAGTGCATGTAAATGGTCTGCAAAGGCTAAAATCCCTGTGTCAATGTGTTCCCTTCCAGTTTACTTCAGGAACATTGTGACATCACTATTGAACACTCGCGCTCCCATTGGCTGGCGCTCAAACACATTGTACTTGAAGGGGCGGGACATCTCTTAGCGGTTGACATGTCAGAGTAGAGACACAAAATATGAACCTGAAAATAAGCATATGTCCTCTTTAAGACAAAATATTAGAAGTGTACGATTCTTAAAAACCTAAATCTTTTTTTCAAGTAGTTTTAACACACCATCATTTGAATTAGGAGATTTAGTGATTTAAAACAACCACAAAAGCCCTTTTTCGGTCAAAAATGCCACAACATCCCATGTCTTGGTTTGTCTGTTCCCTAGAGACAGTAGTGGATTCTGTGGAGAGGGTTTTTTTTCTTTTGCACACAGCGCAGACCTCACATTCAAGATTTTGGGACGTTTCTGTAAAAAGAGAAAATGCAACTACCTAACTCTTCACTCTCATTGCAGCCTGATGCTCCCTTCAGTGGAATAGGGCACTGTGTACTGAGATACTTCAACGTATGCAACAGATAAAAGAGGGATATGCAAAAGGTCGACATTCCACACACACTCCTCCGATGTCGTACGATGTGAGAAAACCACTTTGTGCTCAGCTGTGTGTCCCAACAGAGGGCTCACACCTTTTAAAGTGTTTCTCTAACAAGTCTGCAGAAACACTTTTTACACAAGAGACTTTCTGAGATTTTATTTTTCTGTGTGTATATTTATTAGAAACCATCAGTAGTGCACCTTTTTATTACCTCATTATTATTGTTTTTTTTTTATCAGAGAGTCTGATATTCTTTCCTTTTTGCCGTGAGTTCACACTGTGAGGTTTGTTTGATCAGATGTTTCTGCTTTACTTTTTGGCAATGTTGCATACTTATTCAACAAGGCTGGCTACCAAGCACTTCTAATGAGGACAAATATGTATTCTGAGGTTTAGGGTGCCAATAACAATTCATTTGATTAACTGTTAGGTCTGTAAAATGACGAGAAACGGTCCATCACAGTTCCCCGGGTACACACTTTTGTTCGACCATATCTAAAACATATTCAATTTAAAATCTTATATAGAAGAGGTCAAGCATCAAATCCTCACAGGAAAATCTGGAAACAACAGATATTGGTCATTTTTGCATGATAAAAAAAACACAAAATAAAGCGTGATTTCCAGCTCTCATGAGATTACCATTAGGTCATACTTTTTAAAACGTGTTTCATCCGGATCGACCTGCAGTTTAATGTAAATACGTCTCAGATAAAACTGTCCATCTGCCTCCAAACTGAGACGTTGCTTGTCTAAGTCCACCTACACACTTTCAATCGACCAGAAACATATTCAATTTGAACTCTTCAATTAAAAGAGGAAAGCATTAGGAATGCAGGAAATTCTGGAAACAGTAGATGATGCCATTTTCTGCTTTAAGAGCAACAATAAAACTTAAAATACATGTAGAAAACTTAGATACAGCTCACCTGAGATTAGCATCAGCAGATAATGTCAAAAAAGGTTTTATCAAGATCGACCTGCAGTTTAAAAAATAGCCCTCCAGTTTAATTCGTTCTCTGATGATATGCACTTATAATAATAATAATGCATTACATTTTTTATTAGAGCGCTTTTACAGGTGCTCAAAGCGCTTTACAAGTACACATTACACATATTAGACATGTAAGAGTCATTACTGCGGACATTACCCACAGGAGCAAATGCGGGTAAAGTGTCTTGCCCAAGGACACAACGGCCTGACGCAGTGGCGGCCGAGGCGGGATTCGAACTGGAGTTCACCAACGCCCCTTGATCTAATGACCACTGCGCCAAAAACCGCCCCACTTGTATGGAGGACGGAACATGACTTAAGTATAAATAAATAAATGTATGAAGAAATACAGGAATAAATAAATTACGTACATAAATACAGGAATAAATAAATAAATACGTAAATAAATAAATAAATACAGGAATAAATAAATGACGAAATAAATACAGAAATAAATAAATGTTGAAATGAATACACAAATAAATAAATAAAAGAATAAATGCATAAATAAATATGGAAATAAATACATCAATGTATAAATAAATAAATGTCGAAAATAAAACAGAACACACGTTATTATTATATATCTTTCATTTATTTCTACATTTACGCGACATACATTTATTTATTTATGTATTTATGTGTCCGTATGCTAATGAGGTGGGCGGTCCTAACCTCAGTCTGAAGCAGGATTCGCCAATTGTTGGAGCCAGGCAGAAGCAATAGATTTGTGGCAAGTCACATCATGTCGAGCTGAGCCAAGTCCTCTATACATCGTTCCACACGAAACTGGACATAGTCTTTTGGTTCTCCGTTCTCTAAATGGTCCGCTAATGATCGTAAATGATCTCCAATGGCTCTTAAATCAATATCCATAAATAAACCTTACAACTGTGGATAAACCATGGATGTATAAAGATAAGGGCTAAACAGTAAAGCTCCTGCATTCGAATCAGCGCGGTTATCCAGGCGTTAGTAGTAGAGCCCTCTGCCAGAAATGATCACACACTCCTGTAACCAATCCTGCTTCAGACTGAGGTTAGGACCGCCCACCTCATTAGCATACGGACACATAAATACATAAATAAATAAATGTATGTTGCGTAAATGTAGAAATAAATGAAAGATATATAATAACGTGTGTTCTGTTTTATTTTCGACTTTTATTTATTTATTTATACATTGATGTATTTATTTCCATATTTATTTATGCATTTATTTATGCATTTATTCTTTTATTTATTTATTTGTGTATTCATTTCAACATTTATTTATTTCTGTATTTATTTCGTCATTTATTTATTCCTGTATTTATTTATTCCTGTATTTATTTATTTATTTACGTATTTATTTATTTATTCCTGTATTTCTTCATACATTTATTTATTTATACTTAAGTCATGTTCCGTCCTCCATACACTTGTACCTCTCCTTGTTTATTTTAAAAGCAATGTAACATTTTAGGGTGGGGGGCAAAAATGTTAAATCCTGTATTTTTTTCAAACAAAAATCTGTAGATTTGGAGTTTTTTTTTTACGCCTCTCACAGTGTGAACTCAGCGGTCGGACAGTCCTGTTTGGTCGATGTACAAATACTCAGAAGAGACAGAAGCTGCACAAAGTGGAAGAATGTATTTGATTGTTTTGTATGGGAAGGATTCTGCCAGTTTCTGCCTCCTCTTGTTTCACACACAGTATTGATAACCTCCATCCTTCCTGTCACTCCTGCGTGGAATAGGCATTCCTCTTCAAACAGCAGCTTATGAAAAACATGCCAAATACAACCAATGTAATGTTGTATGGAAAAGAAAACGGCAGTCCCTCAATTTTTGTTTTCTCACTACAACAACAGGTACAAGGCTATTTTATAACTTTCAAGATGTTAACATAATGTATATAACAGAGAAATGTGAATACGTATTGCTCCGAGTTTGTGGTAAGAGAAAAAAAACGACTCGCCTCCGTCATGATTTTATGTTTTCTACTTTTTTTATTTTCTGATGATGTGTGTATGTTATATGACTATCAGTGAGTGTAAGTGATTCAAACTGTATATCTGGTGTTCTCTAAGATGGAAAAGTGGAAGATGTCCTGGTTTGATTATTTTCTTCGTTCTCCTCTTTAGACCCTGCACAGCGGGGGGTTCAGATTTTAAAACAACACAACACGTTTGCCAGAGAATGGTTTCTAGCGACTGCTGAATGTGATGTTACTGAGAGAGAGAGAAGCAGTGCGGACTGGCTTTTTCTTTCTTCCGGGTTAATTTAAAAAAACAAAAAAAGGCCATATTTAATGTTCTCTGTCAAAGGTTTTAGCCGATCTGGGAGAGTGGAGCCTTGGTTTCATGGAGAAGCATTGCCTGGTTGTCGTGTAAAAACAGTGGGTGTTTCTCGTCATTTCTCGAAGCCTTTCTTCGCATTAGTAAACGACCAAAGCTTCGAGATGTTTTGATGGATATCATATGCAAACCTCGCCATCACTGGACGTTATGTAGCGGCTTTTTTCCTTTCTCTTTCTCCCACACACGGCTGCATGTTCCTCGCTTATTCTCATCTCTGAAGTCGCTTTGGAGACGCCTCCTTTTTCCCGCCAATGAGGTCTTTTTTGTGCCTGAAGTGTTATTTCCGTTTACAGGAATTGAATTGCTATGCACCTTACTGAAACAAGCATTTCCTAACGATGTAGATGTAACACTGGAGCAACACTAAATCATTGATTTCATAGGCAGAGTATTTGTAGAGATTCATGATAAAAAGCCCCCGTCTTTCGTTGACTCTTTTCTCCATGTCCTGAATCCTTTATACCAAACTAAGGTGCCTCGTGTATATACTTTCTGCAGTGGAGATTTCTCCTTTGCTGTTTAACAATAGTAACCTTGTTAACCAGTGTTTTTTTTAAAACCTTTTTTCACCTTTGTAAAAAAAATAAACTGTATAATAAACTGACTTTTTTTACACACGTAGATTAATCAAATTATTCCAGGAAATATTTGCAAATACAATCTAATTTTGCACTTTATATATATATCAGATTTACTTGGAAGTGAAAAGGCCATCATGCAATCAGAGATAGAAATAAAAAGTCCCCTGAATGTAAAAATTAAACGAGTAGCTCAGGTTCTTCACGAAGAACTCGACCGTACGGATACCCATTTTCCGAACGGCTTCAAAATGGTACACCTTCTTCCTAACGCCTCTTTGTCTCTGTCTACCAACCGATCCTCAGTATAAATACTATGCCAATCTTCTTCAGGTGACTCCCTCTTTTCTCCTCTTCCTCTGCAAACTATAAAAAAAGAACTCCCGCTTGAACTCTCAGAACATTCCTGTTTTTAGCAACAGTTAGCTCGTTAGCCGCCGCTCGACTTTCACTCGGCTTCAAACGTGTTTTTCCTTAAACCAAGGTGGACACTTTTTAATTTTTTGTATCCTGGTTGTGTGAGACTTAGCTACAGCTGTGCACTGACATGTTTGTGTTGCTTGTATCCTCTGGTTCTCTATGTGCAGAACATACCAGAATGTGACCAATGCATTCTGCAGGATTTGTGAAGTTGAAAGCTTCTAGGACATTTGACGCATGAGATGTTCGCATTACTGATGATCACTTATCAAAAATCTTCATTATGTAATCATCCTCTGAAGGCATATTTAACCCTAGAATATCATCACAGTAGTTGTATTGAGGTGTTTGTCAAAAATTATTATTATTGCCGAATATCATAGCTAAAAAACAAAGAAGTTTGATAATATAGATTCCAAAAATAAAGGGGTTAATTCTTGGCAAGATTAGATCAAGTTTTGGATATTGTAATATGGCAAAATTCATGGATTTTCCTTGCAAATTGAATTGATTTATTTAAAACAAGGAACAGTGTGTATTAATCAACATATTAAAAACATGTAAAAGTACTCGAATTAGCCAAAAGGCTAGTTTTCATCGAACACATTCTGAATTTAAAACATGGTTCTAGTTTTAAAATATTTCGCCTTTTCCCATCTACTCAATAAATCCACTTTCTGATGATTATTTATCAAAAGTCATTGGTTAAGTCATTGTAAAAGCACCCATAGTTAACCCGTCATATTGTCTTTATTGAGATATTTGCTAAAAAAATATGATAACCAAGCGAAACGTAGAATACTTTTCCTGAAAATCTGAAGAAATCCTCTCCTGTGAGTGGTCCAAACTGGTATTTGTGCACCTCTCTCTGTAGTCCTTTAACTCCCACTCATTCCTGGTGCAGGTGTTACAAAGCTACTCTCTTCTCTGTGTGAACAGCATCAAGTTAGTATTGTAAGACTTTATTATTAACTCACCAAGTTGTGTTCATTTCTGGGGGTTACAGTAGGTGATGCATCCTCTGGATAATTTGCGAGGAAAATGACCAAGGTTCCACTTTCTCCCTTGTACAAATTAATATAAATATATATTATACATTTTACTCATTTCCGTCCGTTTGTTTGTATATTACACTCATGTAAAGTTTGTTTTCAAAAGAGGCATCGGAGCAGCTATTACAAGACAATATGAGTGACAATGTTCATCTGGGAGAATCTTATGCATGTTATATTTTCACTTTCTCTCTCTCTGTCTCTTTTACTCCCCCCCGA